AGTAGATGGCACTCGGTGACACTTGGTGACACTTTTGGTGGCACTTGGTAGCACTGGGTGTCACTAGGGGGCAGTAGGTGTCACTAGGTGACACTTTTGGCTGCCCTTGGTGACATGTTTGGTGGTCGTGGGTGACACTGGGTGGCCCTGGGTGACACTGGGTGGTCGTGGGTGGCCCTGGATGACACTGGGTGACACTGGGTGGCCGTGGGTGACACTGGGTGGCTGTGGGTGACACTGGGTGACACCCCGTGCTCCTGTGCCCAGGTTCGGCGCCCGCCCCGCGAGGAGGAGCCGAGCGCGGCCCAGAGGCTCCTGCTGCTGCTGCTGCTGGTGGTGGCGGCCCAGGTGTACACGGAGGGGACAGCGGGGACACCCCCCAGCGTGACGGGGACCGCGGCGGGGACACCTCTCAATGTGACGGTGACAACGGCGGGGACACCCCCCAGCGCGACAGTGACAACCGGAGGACGGCCGGGGAAACTGGGCACCCCCCTCAGTGTGACGGTGACAACCATGGGGACGCCCTCGAGGACACCGGGGACACCCCCCAATGTGACGGTGTCACCTGTGGGGACACCCCCTGCAGTGAAGGTGACACCAGGGACACCTGCTGTGACACTGGGGACGCCCCCTGCGATGAAGGGGACACCCTCTGCGACACCCCTCGCGATGGAGGTGACAGCCGCTGTGACGCCGGGGCCCCCCGCCGCGGCGCGGGTGACACCCCCGGTGACACTGGCCCCCAACGTCACCCTGGCGGTGGCGCCGTGCCCGGCCACCCGCTGATGGCGTCACCGTGACCGTGGGTGACACCGTCAACCGTCAATACGGGGGACACCGTCAATACGGGTGACACTGTGACTGACACTGCGCCCAGCGCTGTAGGTGACATTGCTGTGGGTGACACGGTGACCGTCACTGTAGGCGTCACCGTCACTACGGGTGACACCGCGACCGCCACGGAGGCACCTCGGGGACCTCCCGGCCACCTCCGGGTGACAGAGGGACCTTGGCGGGGAGGGGGGACTGACCCCTCCCCACTTATTTATTTTATTTATTAACTTTACGGTGTTTTATTTATTTTATTTAATTGTATTATATTTAATTTTATTGTGTTTATTTAATTTCATTATATTTATTTTCTCGTGTTTTATTTTCTCATGTTTTATTTTCTCGTGTTTTATTTCCTCATGTTTTATTTCCTCGCGTTTTATTTTCTCATGTTTAATTATTTTAGAATTTCTTGGGTTTATTTGGGGGGCGGATTTAGGCCATTTTGGGCATTTTCACTGTTTTTTAATGGAGGGGAAGGGGAAATGCCCCCCCCCCAAATAAACCTCCCCCCCACTGGTGTCCCCAAGTGTGTGACATTRCAGGGAATCAGGGGGGCCCTAGGAGGACCATGGGGGGTGTCACCTCATGTCCCTAAGGGCCACCCGCCATGGGGACCATGTGGGGACCCTGGGGATGTCCCCAAGGTGACACTAGGGGGTCCCAGAAGGATCATGGGGACACTGGGRGGTGACAGGGACATTGGGACATGAAGGGACCCTGGGGGGACATGGGGGGTGATGCAGTGTCCCCAAGGGGTAACACGAGTGACACGGACAGCGGTGGCTTTTGCAGCCCGGGTTTATTCCCCGCCCGGGGGCGGCTTTTTTCAATATGAAAAACACAAAAACAAAAAAAAAGTAAAAAGGAGAGAAATGAACCCAAAATGAACCAAAAAGAGCCGGAACGAACCCAAAAGGAACCCAAAGCTCGGGGGGGGAGGGACACAGGGATTTATTGCCCCTCCCCCCACAGCCATTTTGGGGAGAAAAGGGGGTGTTTTGGTCAAGGCCGCAATAATTTAGTGGCGGGGATGGGGTGCGGGGAAGACACACGGGGATGATGGTGACAGAGGCCGAAGGCTCCCCGGGAACAACAAGGCCCTGCAGGGAGGAGGAGGAAGGTCCTCAGGTGCCGACGAAGGACGAGGGCTCTCCAGTGACCATGATGATGGTCCAGGGGTCTCCACTGACACCAAGGGAGGGACGAGGGCTCTCGTCGATGGGTTCTTCTGTGATGATGATGAAGGTCAAGGGCTCTTTATGAGCGCATGATCTGTGGCAGTGAAGATCAGTGGGAGGTCTTCATCATCTTCAGTGAGGATCAGGGTTCTCTGGTGACATGATGAAGGCCAAGGGGTTTCCATCGACGCAGAGGAAGGACGAGGGCTCTTCGGTGACGATGATGATGGACGAGGGGTCTCCGGCGGTGACAAAGGCCAAGGATTCTGCGGTGATGATGATGAAGGTCTAGGGTTCTCCAGCGATGTTGACAACGGACAAGGGTTCTCTGGTGACAGTGATGAAGGTCTARGGGTCTCCATTGACACTTGAGGAGGGATGAGGATTCTCTGTTGACAATGATGATGGGCTAGGGTTCTCCGTCGATGATGATGATGGACAAGGGTCTCCATTGACACAGACGGAGGATGAGGGCTCTCTGGTGACAGCGATGCTGGACAAGGGTTCCCCAGCAACGATGAAGGCCAAGGGTTCTCTGGTGACGATGACGAAGGTCTAGGGTTCCTGGCAATGACGAAGGTCTAGGGTTCTCTGTTGACGACAATGATGATGGACAAGGTTCTCCGGCGACGACGACGAYGATGATGGTGATGATGGACAAGGCCTCTGCGGCCACGAAGCACGGGGGGCCCCTCACGCCTCCTCTTCGGCCTCCTCGCCGAAGTCCTCCTCCTCCTCGGCCGTGGCGTCCTGGTACTGCTGGTACTCGGAGACCAGGTCGTTCATGTTGCTCTCGGCCTCGGTGAACTCCATCTCGTCCATGCCCTCGCCCGTGTACCAGTGGAGGAAGGCCTTGCGGCG